TTATAGTTACTTGTGATAAAACGCGCACACCATGCCTTTTTATTTGTTATTCTAAAATATACTTATTTAAGACGATATAATTAAAAATAATAATTAATTGGGTAATTTCCCAATTCCATCTATCGAATTTCCCTTCGAAAGCTACTTTCAATCGGAAGGAATATCACATATTTTTAAAGGGTATTTGTGGTAAGCGCTCACACCATTCCTTTCTATTTGTTCTTCTTCTTTTCAATCTGCCCCAGTCTCAAGCAACGGGGTGCCCCCAACTGTCCAACAGTTACCAGTTGCAGCTCCAGTTGGGCATCTCGTGTTGCGCCCTCAGCGCCCATTGCGACAACTGCAATATTATTGTTAATATCATCGTAAATTCGAAATTCTTATGCTTATTGAATTTTCATGTTTGCCAGCGACCAGGCGACACGTACCTCATCCTGTTCCGATTGCCTTTGGTCCTGGCCGTTGTTGTTCTTGTTGCTGTTTGCCATGTTTGCAATACATGCAAATGATTTTAGTTATGATAAGACGAGTGTCAATAAATGCTGGTCCAGAGTTCCAGCTGTAGATGCCGATACGAAACTAACTGAAATTGCAATTTTATCAAGTTTCCTCAATTCTGGGCTTAGTTTGTTATTATTATTGCTCGACTTGTTTTCTTATTGCCATGTAATAACAATTAAATGTTTACTCAGCAGCTTTAATTGCCATTTTATTGTTTGCTCAAGTTTTGCAATGTGCAAATTTTATAATATTCGTAATATTTGAGTGCAGCTGCCATTTTATCAGATTTAAATTGCTTTGTTGCCCCGGGCACGTGGTCAAAATGGTATTCGATAAATGAGAATTTGGCTAAGAACATAATCGATATGTGTTTTCTGATTGCCAATTTAACATTTTGATTGAATCCGGGAATTACATCTCATATGTGTGTACATACATGTGTACATGTATACATCGAATGGCAATTCGTACTTATTCCTATTTAGTTCGATTTCTACATGTTTTTGGATGCACAAATTTTCAATTATGACTTTGGTTCGGCTTCTCTTTTATTTATTTCGGATCATTTAAATTGCCAGCTTTGATTTATTCAATGTACACAGCATACCTGGGCTTATCGTATACAATCAACTCTTAGAGTATCGCCTTACAACGAGCAACAACAACAAAAAAAACAAGCGCATTTTCAGCATGCGAACAAAAAAGTGACAACATCCCGAAGGCGCATGGTGAGACACTGGCGACTGTGGCCCAGGCAAGCAAATAACTCAATCCTTAACAGAAATGACAGAAACCTTATAAATACAAGAATATGTTGGCAGCGTATGCCGTTGCGATCATCCGATCACCCGATCCCGTGGCCCATCCCGATCAACGTGTGGTTACCGCGCGACATGGGAATGCAGCTCTGTGGGCATGGCCATAACCATACGCCTGCCCTGGAGCACAGAACGAGTTTCACTTAGTTAGAAGCCACTTCTTATCGTTGTTGCGTTGTTTGTTTGCTTGTGTCTGTGTGTATGTGTGCGTGTGTATTGGAAATTGAAAATAACAGATTTAATTTGTCTAACAAACTGCTCCCCACAAACACACACGACGCGTCGCAATGTCAGCGGACAGACAGCCGTCATATTGAGATCTCATCAAAAGACCGCACAACAAGTTGCGCTTCATGCCCAATCCCGAGCCCGTACCCTCAGGTCCCCAGACCCACAGAGCCAGTGATAAAAGCTACGAAAAAAAGAGAACTCATTGAAATATTTTGACAGCGGCCTGGCAGGCGTTGAAGTTCAAGAGAAATGTCTCAAGTGCATTCGAAGTATTTCGTAGCCTGACCGCCAGCTGACAGCTGCGATCTCTGGATCTGAAAGACTGACAAAACCAAAAAAAAAAAAGAAAAAGCAAAAAGGTGGCGGGTCTCAGAACTGGTGGTGGGCACATGAGTACAAGCATAGCAATATTTTGATCCCAGTGGCTTATCACGTTGATAATGACAATCGATGATTCCTATGAAGGCTTGGCCCAGCTTGAACTGAGCTCCAATTTGTTACACATCTGAAGCTGAAGATTTGTTGTTTTTTTTTATTTTTATTTTCTTAACATATTTCCAACGTCTGTTACAGTTTCTTAGTGGGCCCCGAGGCCGAAATAAAATTCATTTGGCTGAAACCACTTAAAGAGTTTTTAAAACGTGACGCGCTTTCATATTTTCTGAAGTGTTTGTTTTAGATTTTGTCGATGGTCCAATGTACAAATTGAAGATACGTACACACAAAAACGTAAGGGCCAACAATATTTGTAGCGAATAGAAAAGGTCACTTTGGGCTTAATGAAATTAACATAACTTTGTTGTTGCACTCAGCTGGGCAACGAGTGGTCCACAGCTCTGAAACTTGTATCTAGAGCTTTAACCATATACTAATACAGCCTGCACTTATCATAGTTAGCTAAACAACAATCTGACACCAAAGACTTCCAACTGCTCTGATGGTGAGCTCAAAGCGTTTTATGGGCACTTTCAATTTGTTATTATAACAAATTAATTTTGACGGCCTAGCTGATTGCAAAAAACTGTCCAATTGGCATTAAAGCCTACGCCAAACAGCATGCTCTAATCGGAATGCTCGGCCAGCTTCTATTGTCAGGCCGGGCCGTTCTCGTCTACGTCTGTGTCTCCCGTTGCCAACTGTGTTGGTCAGTTGACAGCTCTCCAAATGCGAAACAGATCAAAGCAAATTATGTGCAACGCCTCTTGGCTGCTTAGCGCTGAGCGCATGACCAGCCCCGGTGCGAGCTCTTGAGCATTGTGCCACTCGGCAATAAACCAAAGCGGATGGCGACCAGATACAAATACACTCGTACTCGCAGTTAAACAAACTCAAAACGTACGATGGCCAATGGATTTTCATTTGCGAGCCGGCAAGTATTTCATAAATCAACAAACGGCGACGTGAACACGTGGCTGGAGGAGGGAATTGGACGGCACTATGGAACTGTATGATGGCTCGATTAAATGGATTTCAATGCGAAGAACTCGCGAGTCTCTCGCATTTCCATTTCATCAACAGCCATCAGCATCAGCAGCCGGAGCAGGAACGGCAGCAGAATGGGCAAACAGTGCCAACTCCTCGAGCACCAGCCGGGGCAGCAGAGAGAACTCATAACAAATTTGCGCGCTTTTATGCCCACAAATTGCCATGTCTTCAGCCAAGTGACAGCGCAATTATCGAGGGCCTAGCGATGCGTTGGAACTTGGGATTCTGATGGCTAATGGAACGCTGGGGCATGCCACAACACACAACTGCAGTTGACAGTTTGTTAAAGGGCGCTGAATTGATGAATTGTCTATTAGGAGGGAAGTCCATTTAGCATTTTGTCAGCCCATTAAAAGTTCTTGTCAGGCATATATGCATGTATGTGTGTTTGTTCAATTTATTATTCAAATCTACGAGCCAATATAATAAGCATTTGCTTTATTCAGTGTGAGCTCCTTCCAGGAATAGATAACGCAAGTCCTTTGAATCGGCTGGAGCTCGACATAGAGGACATTCAATGCAACGGTTCAAGTGTACGCGAATACACATATCCCCAAAAACATGTCCGCATGCCAAAGAGACCACACGATGACTACCGGATGAAGTCCACGTATCTAGGCATATCGAACATGTTATATAATTGGGATTAACGCGATTTTGACCCTCAATTTCCGTCTTCAGCTCCTCTACTTTCCGCAAATGGGCTTCTTCTTGAAGTTTTAGATCTGCCTGTAGCTTAAGTCTTATTTGATCCTTCTCGAACATTTTCAATTCAAACTCCTCAACCAATAGTTTTTGTGCTATGGTCAGGCTCTCAACTTCACCTCCTTGGCAACGACATTCAGCTTGGATTGGCTTCTGCACCGCATCCAAAGAAACGCACAATTCTTTGATTTGTTGAAGAACCTCGGTCAATTTCTGGTTTATGTTGTCTAATTTACCACCCCCAAATTGTGATTTTGAGCCTGTCAGCATTTCGGTTAGGACTCGCATGCCTGTTTGTAATCCGGCGATGCAAGCATTATATGCTTCTTCCAATTTCAATGAGGCCGACTTCACTAATTCCACCTCGTATACAGCAGTGGATAATTTCAATTTGAGTTCATTGCGTTCTTTGATCAAAGTTTCTAGTTCCTTTTTAAGCTTATTCTCCGAATCATGTCCACGTAGCTGTTTTGCAGGAGGACCACCAGCCAATGAACTTTTTGGTTTCATACCTAAAAAAAAAAAAGATTTATAAGAACTCCCACATGACCACATTCTGAAAATACTCGATAGTTCGTTGAAGCAAGAAAATATGCAAGGAGTTTTTTGTAAAACTCAGAAAAGGCTCTCGAAAAGTAGCTGACACCTGAAAGAAAGGTTTAGAAGTCGGTGTAACCACTCCACAAACATTTCCTACCAGTGAGTACTCAAATTTATAAAATAAAATCATTTTAGACATCTTCGCTTCGATCAATGTGGCAACACTTAAAGCTACATATACATATGTTCGTTCATACATATGTTTATATATATGTTAGACTTAAAATAATCGCAAGTATTGTTTTTTTTGTTAAAAATACCTTTTACCCACGTACCAATGCATGTACTATTGGATGTCCCAAAGAAAGTAATTTTCCAGTTATCCGTCGATAAGAAATAATCGAATTTTACCACGGTGAAATAAATCGATAAATCGCATTCGATGTTTTCGTACATCACTTAAATGTTGAGAGTCGTGTTTGTGACATACCCAAGGCTCAGTTGGGACAGGAAAGGAACCGAAATAAATCAATTTGGAAAATGCCGTCGTACACGAGATTGGAGCTTTTATCCATTCGAGAGCGCATGACGAAAACGCGAAATGCTGTTCAAATACAACAGCACCGCGAGGGGTGTCAAATGCCGAAATCAGACCATATCGAAAAAGCCCAGGAAGAAAAATATTCACATTGTGGAATTGTGGAAATATTTACAGCTGAAATGGATGAAATAAGAAAAAATGTTCGGGAGCTGCACTCAAAAGTTGAAGAGGTGTACTTTCAAGGCCTACCTGAGTGCTATGCTGGAAATAAAGAACACTCCTTACAAATATTTCGGGGTGCCAATGATAATCTAAAGAGCTTCAGTCATCAAATGCATAAGGAATTTTCCTCCATGCTCACGATGGTGAATATTATGTACAAGAAAGTACAGGAGCAAGTATTGGAAAAGCAGAGTACGCGTACGGAATATTTAGCTAATTTTTTAGTGCATAACAAAAGCAAATTGCAGCAAGTCAGGGAAAAAAATATGCAGCTACAAAAAGAAGTCGAGCTGAGCAAGAAGTATTGGTTGGAGCTAACGCGGATTGTACAGGCTCAGCAGCAGCTGAAGAAGAACTCTGATCAGAAAGTCTCTTGCTCCATATGCATGGATGAATGGACATTGTCTGGTGACCATCGCGTCGTGTCCTTGAAATGTGGCCATCTCTTTGGCGACAAGTGCGTACGACGCAGTCTGGAGGAACGTGAACTATGCCCACAATGCAGAGCTCCTGCAGCATTGAAGGACATACGTATTATCTATGGCAACCCATACTAATTCGATTGAATAAATAATCACTTAATCAAGGGTTACTATGTTATTTTATTTTAAAAAAGCTACCGAGGTTAACATATTAATGTGCTCACAAATGATAGATGATCAAATAAAAGTTCTCTTAAACCAAGATGATAAAAGGCAAGAGAAATCTTTGGCGTTGCCACACAATAGTTTTCAGCCAGTGAGTACCTAATTGATGAGCCCTTCGAAGTGTTTAAAAGCAAAGTTCAGCTTCGTTTCGTTAATATGGCATCACCTTCGGTAAATGTGTCGAGTGCGAGCAAATGGTGTTTGGAGCTAATTAAAACTTGCTTCTGCAAATAATTATAGTGATAAAGGTATGAAGTCAGTTTAATAGTGTTTTGTTATTCAATATAGTCATTGTAATAATCATAGTTATTCATTCTTATCCGAGTCTTGTTTGTATGCTGTTTATGCAAATAAGTGCATACATACTTATGCTTGTATGTAAATACCTACACACATTTTAAGTATGAGTTTAAATTCCCATACGTGTTGTCTTTGAACTGTCGAGACAAAACATAACAAGACAAGGCATACTTTCAAAGGGGAATCCCGTGTTTTAAAAACATGTCTACTTTGTTTTTGCACGTGCATAATTACAGGACCGAACTTCTATAAAATACAATAAAAATGGCACTTTCCAATGGCGAAGAGGAGTTTTTATCAATTCAGGAGAAAATTATTGAAGAAGAGCTTGTCTCGGAGACAGTACAGAAAACGGACGAGCTAGATCCTTATAAGATAATATTAAAAAACACAAATGAATTACAAAAACAACTTAGTGAGCTGTGCGCAAAAGTTGAGGATCTTCAATTTCAAAACCAACCCGTGCTGATTCAGAATCAGGAACAGCTGCAATCCCTTCAAAACTATTGTCGGGAGATGGATGAACATGTCGCTTCTATTAAAACGATACAGGATTTGCAATCCCAAGAATTTAATCAAAAATTATTGGAAAAGGACCAAATGCGTTTGCAATTACTAGCAGACTTGAAAAGACAAGAGGAATCCCATATACAGGAGATGGATCAACTGAAATTAAAACTTAAAACTGAGCTGGAAGAGAAGGATAGACAATGCTTGGAGTTAGAGCAAGAAATAGAGCGTTGCAAGACCCATAACGACATCAGCGTCTCTTGCTCCATATGTCTGGATCCATGGAATTCATCGAGTGATCATCGTTTGGTGTCACTCCAATGTGGCCATCTCTTTGGTGACAAATGCATTCGAAGCTGCCTAAAGCAACTGAATGAGTGTCCCCAATGTAGAGCTCCATCCAGAACGGATTATATACGTTATCTCTATGGTCGCCCACTTTAAGCTATAAAAAAGTAATGATTAGCAGTTTGAATGTGAAACGAGGAGAACATGCCGAAGGCACATGAAAATATTTTGTTTCTTATTTACAGTCAATTACAAAACAAATGAAAGTAATTGAATATTGGTAACTTGCTGAATTGAAATACCGAAAATAAACTAAATACAAACAAAATTAGATGCCTATTATATTTAGCTGGAAGCGATGATAGCTACCTGGAATACATTTATTTCTAGCGGGAAAACGCTAAACGTAAAAAGCGTGTATGTCTCTGTGCTTGTATTCACGCACTAACCAAACAACATATATGTATATGTATATAATACATATATGTATATGTTGTTTGGTTAGTGTTCAAAGTAATCACACTATAAGCAATAAAATTGCCAATTGGTTTTTAATTGTCACAAAGTGTGGACACACTTGTGAGCGGGCGCTGCCAGACTGCGAACGGGTAACTGGTATTTTCTGTATTTAACTTTAATGCGTTTCGTAAATATGGAAATAATTGTGTAAAAGTGAAATGTATTTAGGCTTCTACAAGACGGCTTCTGCGAGATTCTAGTGAATAAACTTTTTCCCAAAAATATATGTTGCATATTAAATGTTACATACACACATGCATATGTATGTGCATACATACATATGTGCTTAATTTTTCAGAAAAGCCAATAAATTTCAAACTGGAAGAGTTAATTGAAAGCATTATTGAAAGAATCAAATGGAAGAAACATGTTTTCCTTGCATACATATGTGATTTTTGGTTATATTATGTATAAAATATACAAGCTACTCAACACTTCGAAGAGGGTAATGAAAGAAGTAAGTGAGCTCTCTGCTAAGAAGGTTTTAAAGAGGTAAAAGGAAGCCCACTTAGACAAAATGGAAAAAATAAAATGTCAGCTCATCAGTAACATTGATGAAAAGGATAGACAGCGCAGACATCCAACGAATAAAGGGCGAATATAACAATTTATTTCACTTACAACATATATAATTTATCTATTTATTTTATTTAAATAACAAATCGAAAAACTAGATGCTTATTGATGTTTATGTACTCTTACATATTGTTTTAATTAATATCTGAAAGTAGTTGAAGAAGCTTTTTATCAATCCATTGAACTTGTGGCCATCCGCGTTTAACGCTTATCCACAGTTAAACTTCTGAAATATCTAGCATTTAGATAAACATTCTCCGCATTAAGGTAATGTTTGTCTGGTCGGGAATTATCATACCAGAGTCTGCAATTATGCGCTGCCAAGAATGCTATACATTCAACAACAGAAGCCGCGACAGCAAACCAAAGGCGAACAATGGACACCGGCTGGGCCGGATGCAGTTGCAGATGCAGATGGCGAGTGCCATTTGTCCAAATTGCATTGAATCGAGCATTGAATGCCAAAAATACAATTATGCTTGCTGATCACAACACGATCTGCAATACTAAGACTTAAGAACAGATACAAAGAAAGCAAATCAATGGATGCGTTAAACTGTAATCGACATTCCGCCAATGCGAGCGCTGTTCCTAGCATTGGCATAGCTCATTCTAATGCAAACACTGGACCTGGCACTGGCACTGGCACTGGCCATGGCCACGGCACTGGCACTGGCACCTTTGGCTTAGCCGACTCCAGCTGCTGCTGCTCTGGCTGCCAATTGATGGTTATTGCCAATTTGTATGCGACGGCGGCTGCATTGGATGGCAGAACCAGCATATCATTTTCCACTGTAGGATGTGGCAATAGCCACGGCAACCTCAATACAACAACCACAACAACAGATGCTGGCGATAATGGCGATAATAATTGTCTTTATCTTTTTAGCTCAAAATCAGCCACAAGGCCTCAACTCCCCAAGTTCAGTCCACGACAGCTCGAATGGCCGTCTAACGTCATCTAACAATGAATTCTGTACAATTGGCCGTTAGCCACACTTTCCCAGACCCGCACAATGGGCCGTTGTTTAGATCTTTTATCGGAGAGAAAAAAGTTCAAACATTTCAGTGTCCAGTTTGCATTAATTTCGTGTGCTGTGTCGTGTAAAGCTGGGGCAATAAAATTTATAAAAAAAATATGTGTTGAAAACAAAAATTTAGTTATTTGCATATCAAGCAAATTGGGGGCGCCCAAAAAATACAAAATTTCAAGCACCGAATGGAGTCATAAAACTTGATAAATGCTACACATTTGCTCAACTTTTTCTAAATGATAATGTTGATGGCGACGCCGGACAGAGCTTTCAGAATGTAAATGGTACAAGTTAAAGAAACAATAATAAAATGTTAAATTTGTTTTCGGTAAAGTACGAAGAGCTGTGGATACTTTAATACAGATGCAAATGAGCGCAACTCTGAAAGTTTTTGGCTTCTCTTAAATAATCCTTGAAAGTTAAAAATTGTTTCGTCTAGGGTTTCCAAAATACGTTTCTATTATTTATTTATTTCTGCTCTTTTCTGTTTTATAGACTTGCGGTTGGAAGTTTGGAAAACTGTTATATTAAACTTTGTTTTTTTAATTTAAGAAAACGCTTTTCTATGCGATTCCCATGATATCAACTAAGCCTTACAGGTTTTCTCGGTTGATTGATTTTTTCTATTGACATTCATCGAAACATGTAGTTGATTGCGAACAGAATAGGTACTGACTGTGTTGTGGGGCATAAGATTTGCTGGCAAGTGTATACCTTATTGCCCTACCTATCCTCTAATTTTCTACTGACCACTTTTTCCAGCTTGTTCCCTGCACGACACTTAAACAGTTATGACGCCTGTGTCAAAGTCAAACTACTTTACAATATTTGTGCCGCTGACGAAGTCATCGCAGCCTCAGCTACGTCACTCATAGATACACACTCACAAGCACAGTCACACACACACACACATTGGTAGTAGAGCATTTTATGTCTTTTTTAATTGAAAACTTAAATTTGAAGCGACATGGAAAGGCTTTTATCTGTGCCGTAGTCAATGTTACGGGCGCTGGGCTGCCTCTGTTCCCCTCCCTGGTCTATGGTCTGCTTGCAGTTGGTTCCCTCTAGGTTCTACGTGAAGTTGTAGTTGCAGCTACTGCCTCGGCTACTGTCTGCTTGTCAGCGTTGAGCTCGAAATGATGTTGATGATAAATAAAGTAACGAGTTGGCATTAAAATGATGACAGCCACTTCACAGTAGGTGGGGTGGCGGCGGCGACGGCGGCGACTGCTACGCGTACAGAGACCAAGCTAAGAGCTGCTGCTACTACTATAACAACAACTGCTCGACAATGACATCCAACGTTGGCGTTTATTAGTAATTAGGTTGAAACTCTTCACAATTCGGGTACGCGCCAATTGACATGATGATGTTGCTTGTGCCCAGGCTCATTATAATTAGAAAACTTTCCAAGTAGTCGAGCTAGTAGTAAAATCATTACATTAAATTATGGCGAAGCTCTTTGTTACTGACAAGTGCAATCAAGTGCCTGCCGCTGATTTAACCCCCCTCTTTTGACGGCAGACCCATAAAACGTTGCCACAAAATTCATATTCATCAACTTAAACGGCAAGCCAAAGTGCCTCATATCATATATGAACTATAGCAATCTGTGTGTGCGTCTGTGCGAGTGTGTGTGTGTGCTTGTGTGTGCGTAAGCACGCACAGTTCTGTCATGTAATT